AAAAAAAAAAAAAAAAAGAAAAGAAAAAAAGAAAACCTTTCCTTCAGGCTCAGTGCCTGTACTCAGTGGATAGGGTGTCAGCCATATACACCAAAGCTGGTGGGTTCGAACCTGGCCTGGCCCTGCCAAACAACAATGACAACTGCAACCAAAAGACAGCTGGGCATTGTAGTGGATGTCTGTAGTCCCAGCAACTTGGGAGACTGAGGCAAGAGATTCACTTAAACCCAAGAGTTTGAGGTTGCTGTGAGCTGTGATGCCACAGCACTCTTCCAAGGGTGACATAGTGAGACTCTGTCTCAAAAAAAAGAAAAGAAAAGAAAACTTTTCCTTCATGACAGTCATTTCTGAGTGTGTGTCTGTGTGTAAGTCTGTGTGTCTTACCATAACTGAGTAAAACAAAACCCAGGTACCTTTAAAGCAATGGAGTACATTTTATATCCACTAAAACTTACACAGAAATCACAATGAAAATGCCTAATAAAAAATCTAAGTCTACCATAGCCAGAGTGTCCTGCTCTGTTTTTATTTTATTGGCTTGGGTTCCAACTAATTGATAGTTACCTTTCCTAAAGCATTAGTTTGATCTTCATTGGCTCTTTTTTTACTTCTATGTATAAACAGCAAAGTGAATGCTAAAAAAACAGTATGTATCTTACCTTATACTTATGCAAAATTTCTTTTGTGAAGCCATACCTGAAAAAAACAAATGAGATTTAAACTATTTAATTATTGTTAATAACTCCTACTTACATGAGTCAAGGGGAGCCCTTGACATCTCACTGTTGTGAATACCAAAAGCTCAAAAAACTAGACTTCAGTTGAAACTATTACTTACTCAAATCTTTGCTAGACAGGAATAAGAACAAAAACAACCAATAGCATCATCCCTACCTTCAAGGAGCTTACAGTAGAGTTGGGGAAAGAAGACAGATTTTCAAGAAACAATTATAAGACAATTTAATAAATATGTAATAGGTTGTATAAATGCTGCGAGAGTTCAGAGAAATGTGCTGTGGTAGCTGTGGAAGCTTGGTGGGAGGTTTTTCATTTAGATAGAATTTCTCAGACATCCTATATCTTATGCTAAATGATTAGAAAGAAGGAAAGGCTGAAAAAAGATAAAGAAACCCTAGAAGATAACAAGTTGGTTCTTTATGCTCTTGCTGATATAGGTCATGTAATGAATGATATAGAGGGTTTTAGTATTATAGAAAATGTCAGGAATTTTAATGCCTGAATAGTAACCGGTAAGGGAGATTTGATGATGGAAATGTTTTTCAATTACTTTTCCTTGATTTAGGGTAACAGTAGGTACCCTTAATATCCGACACTATGAAGTACATACAGAACACTCACTCCAAAACTCATGTCATGTCAGCCTTCTACAGTGTAATATTATGTATTCTGAGATGAATTCTATCCTGTATTCACCAAAGGTGTCCATGTTGCTAAATCCAATGGACACCTGGCAGTCCTCACCTTTCTTATCCTCTCTAAAATATACTAAATACAGCTGATTTTACCATCCTCCTGAAAATGTTTTCTTCTCTTCGATTCTGTGACAGCAAACTCTCTTGATTTTGCACTGCCTTTCTGGCTATTGTGCATCTCCTTTGCCAGTTCTGCCTACCTAGGCTTAAACCTTGGAGTTCCTTCAGATTCTGTCCAAGACCCTCTTCTCCCCTCATGGTCTCCCTTAGCAATCTCATCCCTGCCCAGGGCTTCAGTTATTACCTAGTATCAACACTGCAAGACCATGTTCAAGGGCATACTTCATTTCTGATCTCCGGATGTGCACAGTCAACTAGCTACTCCACAACACCTGAAATGAGCTTACCTCAAACTGAATTCATCACTCTCCCTCATCCCAACCACTCATTTTTCTATGTTCCCCATACCAGTGAATAATGCTGCTGTACCCCCAAACTCAAACAAGGAACCTGGAAGTCATCCTTGGCTCCCTCCTCTTTTGATACTCCCATATCAAGTTACTGAGCCTTAAATCAACATTGCCTAAACTGCTCTCGAATCTGTTTCTGTGCATCTCCAATACCACCACCCTAGTCTAAGTGAGAACCCATTATCTATCTCTTCTGCTACTTCCTAAAAACTGACATCCTACATTTTATTATTATTATTATTTTTAGAGACAGTCTCACTTTATCACCCTCGGTAGAGTGCTGTGTCGGCACAGCTCACAGCAACCTCCAACTCCTGGGCTTGCTTAGGCGATTCTCTTGCCTCAGCCTCTCAAGTAGCTGGGACTATAGGCACCCACCACAATGCCTGGCTATTTTTTGTTGCAGTCTGGCCAGAGCCGAGTTCGAACCCACCACCCTTGGTATATGGGGCTGGCACCCTACCCACTGAGCCACAGGCACCGCCCCACCTTCTACATTTTAAAACACAAACTGTTTGGTATTCTTTAATGATATTCTGTTGTTCTTATAAGACAAGACACCATCCTGTCCCTCAGTCTATGGCTCCTACCTCCTGAACTTCTTTTATGTATAAAAAACCTTATCTTAAGGTCTGCATAAGTTGTCCCCTCACTGTGGAACACATTTCCCATCCCCCTACAATGGCTCTCTCTTGATTGCTCAATTCATCCATTAGGAGTCAGGCTAGCACCATACTACTACGGGAGGAACTTCTAACATTCCTCAGACCAGGTTGGATTCTCCCTGTTCACACTCATCACACTTGAAAAACCTACTGAACATATGTCTTCGCTGCTAGATGTAAACTATGAAGACAGGAGCCATGTCTCTTCCATTAATCATTATAGGCACTAGATAAATATGAATGGCTAACTGAATAAATAAAAGGATAAATGGCACGCCCAAATAAAGTATTGAGTTATATGATATATGTGAACTTCTGATAATAGTCCTGGGATTTTTTTTTTTTTTTTGTCATTTATAGTCTTGGCATTTGCTTCCTCATCTTTTTTTTTTTTTTTTTGAGACAGAGTCTCACTTTATTGCCCTCTA